GGAATGCCAATTTCTCTCTCAACCTTTAGTATATTATGTTCGGTATAGCACTTCACACTATAGGTTGCAGTTCTTTGTTTTTGTGAACGTCTTCCCCAACAGTCGATTAGGTGTCTCAGAGCAGGAACTGTGTCTTATTACCTTTGTCTTCCAGGGCCAGAGAAGGGCCTACCACACAGAGGAGGAAGGTGAGAAGGCAATGATATGTGACTTATCAAAATAACTTTTCTTCTGAAGTCTTACACATTCAAGAATTCAAATTCTTTCCAGTCAATAAAAAGTGCTATGGATAACCTTTTGTTGAACCTCCACACAAAAATTAGATATTTAATTCCTAATAGACATAGTCTATTTGTTACTCATTCATGCAACTAATATTTAATGAGTTCCTACCATTTGTCAAATAGGATGCTGGCAGCTGGGAATGCTATGGTGAACAAGACAGACATGGTCCCTCTCCTTATTTTATACTTTAAATTATAAAGCAATCCCTTCTTTTTAGGCATTAGATCTTATGCACTCAATATTTTCTAAATACATCCATGCTACAACTAGGTATTTTGCAAATAACATGCTTTTTGCATTTTGAGACAGGACCAAAAGTATATTCAAATATGCCTCAATAGGAAACTGGTTGTGGAATGATTAATATTGAATCAACCATTTTACCCTTAAGTGCTACAATAAGTAAAACTAGAGCTAGAGAACCAACTTTGTTTAGTCAGTTACATTTTTTTTTTCTTTTTTTGGCCGTGCCGCACCGTGCCGCGCCCAGCACCATGTGGGATCTTAGTTCCCTTACCAGGGATCAAACCTGCATCCCCTGCATTGGGAGTGCAGAGTCTTAACCACTGGACCACCAGGGAAGTCCCCAAGTTACATTTCTATGTTTAATGTCCATTTCCCCTATCAGGCTGTACGTACCATAAAGGCGGGCTCTATGTGTCTTGTTCTCTTGTTCATGGCTATAATTTTAGCACAGAATCTGTGCAATAAATATGCATTAACCTAATGATGAACTATTCGAGGTTTATAACTGTTCCTCAGAGTATGGGAATAAATGAAATAAATTATTTTAAAATTTAAGGCAGATGTTATGGGTACTTAACACAATACAAAGTTGTCATACTGCTGTGTGCATGCATTTTTTTCTTGCCATAAGTGGAATGTAAAAAAAAAACCTGACCTATAGAGACAGTACACAGCATAAGACAGGCCATCCATCTAAATTTATTACCCGATTTTAATGCATCAAGCACTCTTGCCCCCTTACTGCTGACCCATTAAAGAAATGGCTACTCTTTTAAAGGCATGTTTAAAAAATTAAACGTTTGCAATAAGATTTTTCATAATCCAGTCACGAAAAAGTTAAGTTCTTACCAGATTTTGATGCAGAGAGTTCTGTCTTTGTAAGTGCAAAACAGTGGTTTAAATATCAACAGATCCTACCAAGGGCTGTAATTCTCACACGAAATTACAATAATGTTCTCACAAACTGGCAAGTAACTGCTTCAAGCAGAAGGAGCAACAGTATTTTATTTAATTACAATTAAACATTTCACAAAAGCTTAATTGGGAATGTATATGTACTATTAAGCAGAACACAGAAAACATAAAGAAATAAGGTATTGAGACCTAAAATATCATTTAAAATCCTACCAATGTTATCTTACACATAGTAGGTACTCAATACAACTGAACTGAAAATAAACACTTTATAATATGTGCTTGCAAAATGTGTAATGCTGTAGTAGTAAAGTACAATTTCCGAATATGAGATTTTGTCTGTCAGTTTTTTTAAAAGCCTTTTAAAATATGATATGCATGAGCTTACCCTGAGGGAAAGTAAGATGGAATACAGATTATAAAATCTTTATGTATTTTCCACAATAGCATTTTGAAGTTGGAAAAGAGCAAATAGTTGTGGAAAAAAACTGAATGAACCAATTACTAAAAATTCAGTACACTCATAACTACCTGATGGAAAATTTGAAGCACCTTTTCTTACGTCTTCTTATGTCATAATATGAAATGTATGAATTATATAGACCTTGATCTTCAGAAGCTTAAGAAAACTTCAAGTTGTAAGCCAAAATGTCATCAGAAAAAGAAAAATCTGGTATAAAAATTGCTACATAAGGCCACTGTTTAAAGTTCTTTCATGTACAGACACTATACAATTCAGGTACTTTTGTTTTTGTTTTTATTACATAAGCAAAACTTTCAACATAGAAACGTCTGGATATAACTCAGTTCTCTATGAAACCATGCTCAGAGAAAAATGCATCAACAAATAATGCCCTTTTGAGACTTTTTGCAAAAGAAGCTGTAGTTAATACAACTTTTAAATTGAATACTGTAATTTAAAAGCAATTGTTAAGGGTAAAAAAGTTGCAGCATTCCACTACGGAAAAATAAAGTTATTTTATCAAGATAGTTACAGTATTAGTGCTTTAGTGCCAATTCTAACTCTTGACAAAAAGATGCTCCCAAATATCATCCTGTAGTGTCATTTCCATTTGTAACAATTCCAGATTAGATTGCTGGGGCAATGTTTGTATATTCCTATTGAGAGAAAACAAAAGAAATACAGACTTCAAAAGAAGCATTGGTTAAAACATCTGAGCTAGAGCTTTGTTTACATTGAAATTTTCAAAATATTTTAATTAATGTATTACCACTTGCACTCAAGATCCCCACAAAGCTATATGGATTCCCAAAGACACAAAGTAACAACGAAACACATCAAAGCAGATATCAAATGATAAGTCAGTAGGACAAAAAATATATATGGCACTCGATAGGCTGGTATTAGTAAGCTAATGAAAACAGCATTCTGCTATTTAGGCGAGTTTCACTGACAAAAAATCAAGACTCTTAAACCGCAGTCCCTCAAGAACAGAGCCTGATGTGACACACGCACAACCTCAAATGGGTACTTTATCTTTGTCATCATATGGTATCTAATTCTAAAACTATATGGACTCTTCTAGCATGACTGGTAACAGCAGAGAAAGCTATTAGAGGGGGGAAAGCTTTCCTGCTTTTGGATGGTTACCTACAATGTACGAAGATGTATGGCTTCAATAAACACAGGAAAAGGAATTCACAATAACAATAAGACTATGATTAAAGGATAACAAATGTGAATTCTATACTGTGATGCTATGCAAAATGTTAAATTACCAACCACAAACTGGACATAGGACCATGCAACTAATAAAAGAGCAAAAATGGTAGAATGACATGTTTTTCTGGGACATTAAAAAACTTATTAATACATATATCCTTACCTTTTACTAGGATCTTACATTATTAAAACTGAAAGAAATTTAAAAGTTGATTTATTTTTTGGCACTTATATTAGTATGGAAACGTTTAATTCCAAACAAAAACAGTACTGAAGAAAATTCTTCTATTTTGGTTAATGAAATGTTCAAAATACATGCATATATATTTTTGTCAACATCATTCCTTTAAACAGAGCCAGAATACATTGTATCCTATTTCTTTACTCATTATATAATATAAACATCATTTACATTGATCTTCAAATAAAATATCTGTTGCCTACTAACAAATGTAAAAGGAAACGCTAACTATAGTAATTCTGAAAAACTTTTTCAACTGAAATATCTTGTTTATAAAAATGTGGAATTATTCTGAATCACACTCACCCTTGACATGGCTTCTTCTACACTATCTCTCGGATTGATCCCTGCATTCTTCCAATTATGTGAAAACCTATTATAAGCAGAATGCTGAACTAGACATACGAGCATCACCCTCCTATAGGTTTTCATAACTTGACACTTGAGTCAACTGTTTCCTTGTTGATCTTCCTGCACCTCGCCTCCTCCCAGAACCTGCTCACCCAGCCATCAGCCTCAAACACCACTTTCTCCTTCTCAGTCTAGGAAGATGTCCTACTGTCACCACATCACACCCTCTATATTCTACCCAGATTTCGAGGTCCTCTATAATTTGCATACGCCTGTCTCTACCCAACTCCACATTCTACTCCCAAAAATGGATCTTTGGCTGTAGCCCATTCTAAGTCCTGCTCTCCATGACTCAGCTTACGACCTACCTCTTTGGTGAAGAGAGTAGAAATCACAGTACTTAGTGTACATTCCCTGACCGTTTCTAACACACTGATCCTTTCCACCTCTCTGTAGGCACTTACCATCTGTGAAAGTAAGCTCTTCAAAAATATGGCTGTGCAGAAAAGAGTTACTATAGCATACCTGACCGCTATCATTTGAAAGGTCTGATTATAAGGTTGGCCCTTGGCTGGCATCTAAGAACTTAGATTTCAGGACGGTTTCCACCACTGACGAGTGCATAAATTGTGCAAACAACATGGTCTATGCTGAACATCTGCTTTCTTGCTCTGAGTCTGGAATGTGGTATGTGCCTGGAAGGGGATGCCTCCGTGACCAGCGCTGGGCGCTGAGTCTCTAACGAGCCTCCCTGGTTGGCAACATTTCACGCGTGTTGTTGCAGCTCGTTGCTGGGGGACTCAGGCACATCCTGTGTGACTCCACTGGGAGGGGACTCTTGGAAAGCTGCACCTGGTGTCCCCTGGACTCGCCCGTGCGCCAATTCCCCGTGCTGTTTGTGCTGTGCAGCCTTGCGCTGGAACATCTCAGCTACGAGCGCCACCACATGCTGAGTCCTCTGAATCCTCCTAGCGAATCACTGAACCCGGGGTGGTCTTGGGGATCCCTGACACAATTGCTGCTGTTCACTAACTTTTTAGAGCTATGGATGCGTGTGTGTGTCTGTGTGTCTGTGTGTGTATGATTAGATTAGATTCCATTCAACAAACATTTTTAAAGACAGACTATATGAAAGGTAATGGGGGAGACGTGATGCTAATGAGGTACTCTCTGTGAAGGAGTTGATCAACTATTGGGGGAAATAGGAAGGTAAAAAGCAACAGTTAGAGACCAAATGAAACAAGAGCTAAAGAGGGGGCTTTGGTAAGGCTTTACATTAGAGGAAAGCAGGGTTTAATAAGAAAAGGATGGGGATCAGGAGGCTATTTCTAGCCAAGAGAACGTCAGGAACAAAGATAGAAATACATGAAAACGGGCTTCCGTGGTGGCACAGTGGTTAAGAATCCGCCTGCCAATGCAGGGGACACGGGATCGAGCCCTGGTCTGGGAAGGTCCCACAGGCCGCAGAGCAATTAAGCCCGTGCGCCACAACTACTGAGCCTGCGAGCCACAGCTACTGAGACCGTGTGCCACAACTACTGAAGCCTGTGCACCTAGAGCCCGTGCTCTGCAACAAGAGAAGCCACCGCAATGAGAAGCCTGCGCACCACAACGAAGAGTGGCCCCCGCCCCCACAACTAGAGAAAACCTGTGGGCAGCAACGGAGACCTAATGCAGCCAAAAATAAAAGAAATAAAAATTTTAAAAATACATGAAAACATATATTATGCTCCAAAAAACAGAGGGTGCATGGAAAAATGTGGTTAGAAAGGCAGCTCAGGGCTGGACCTGGCTAACAAGTCTGGTCTCTTTTTTTATAGGCAACAGATTCCTTGGAAGGTGTCTGCACAAGAGTGATATGACTCAGACTGTGTTTTGGGACAATAACTGTGTTACTAGTGAAGGGACGGAATAAGCAAATCACAGGAGGCAAGGGAGCAAGTTAGAGGCTGCTAAGATTCCCCAAACAGACCAGGAATACCTACGAATGTAGCAAACAGTAAAGGTGGCATTTTCAATCAGTGGGGAAAGTACAAATTACTCAATAAGCAGTGTTAGAAAAATTGACTATCTGCTGGGAAAAAAAATCAGATCCTGCCCTTATATTGTATCGTTAAAACAAATTCTAAAAGGAACAAGTATTTATATGTTGAAAAAAGTAAGCATAAAACCACTTAAAGGAAACACACTAAGGAATTTTAGTAAGCATAAACATGATATGAAATCTAAAAGCCATATAGGATTAACTTAACAGGTTCATGAAAATTTACAAGTTCTGTAATGTAAAAGCCACCATAAACAGCCAACTAACATGAAATAAATAGGAGCAAAATATATGATAGGTTAATACCCTCAGTAAATCAAGAGCTCTTAAAAACCAGTAAGAAAAAGTACCAACCCTCAACAGAAACACTGGTAAAACACAGAACTAAGGAAATTGAGGGAAGAAATACAAATGACACATAACATATAAAAAATATGTTCGCATCATTAATAACTGAAGAAAGGCAAATGAGAACTATCTCCTGCTATTAAACTGACAACAGATAATAAAGATTAATAATGTGGAGTGCTGGCTAGGGTGCAGGTAAACAGGAACTTTCATGTACTTCTGGTAAGAACAAAAATGAGTAAAAAGGGAGCTATGGCAAGGTACCAAAATGTCAATGTGCACAGTGGTTTAACGGAAATAATGAAAACCTGTAAACTATCCTGAAGTCATCAACAGATGCTTGGTTAAGTAAGTCAGTAATCATCAAACTGGGTTACACATACCCTTAGGGGTATATGAAGACTTTCGAGTGAGTATGTGGGTACAGACAGTTTGGAGGGAATCAATTTCCAGATCTTCAAATTCTCAATGTTTGCTTTCCAGAATAACCCGCCTGTACAATCGGTTAAGGCTGATTCCCTACCTCCCACTTTCGTACTAGGAAAATACACCTTCTCATCCTGAATCTTAGTACTTTGCATTACCTGGGGACCCCCCCCCCAAAAGAGGGGGAAATTGGAAATACTGGTGACGGTGCCAAGAAAGTGAACCAACCCTAGCAGCTAGTAATAAATAGCATACTTCTGCAAGTCAGATGCTTTCCATTTCTTTGCTTTCGTTTAATTGTAGGAGGACAAAATCAAGCTGTCAGTAAAAGAACATTCAAAATACTTTTTGAGGATAGATCACTAAGCGACTTTTTGGCCTATAATTCAGAGTTGAGTCCAAAGAACGGAGTGGCATTGCTATAATAAAAGTTCTTTCATTCCCATCTATACAATCATATAAACAAGGTTTCTCAGGACTTACATTTATAAAAAGAAAAAATGGAATTGATAATTGAACACTATTATTCTACTAATAATAAGTAATATTTATCTATGAATACCCGAACTAATTGAAAAGAGAAATGCATTTCCAATAAAACTTTTATCTGATCAATACTTAACAAAATCTGTAATATATTTACGTTATTTTGATCAACTGTAATGGTCATTCAGTCCAGAGAAATATTTAACACCTAATAGTCACAGAAATCTATTAATATTATGTATCAAATTTGATTTGGTGAGCAATAAAAGACTTTCAAAGATAAAAGTCTATGGGGCAAACAGAATGGAATCCAAATTCAAGGCCAAAAAAAGGAATGATGTAAAATTTCCCACTTGTTAAAAGAGCTCGTCTACGTACTTTAAAAAATGGATGTTAGTTACCAAATTCCTGTGGTGTGCAGGTTCACTGAAGAGATTTAAAACAATGATGTAACAGTTTTATTTAAGACTCTCTATTTATAATATGCCAGAAATTCTATCCTTTATAACAAGTTAAACTTAGGATTAAAAAGTATTAGATACCAACCTAAAAATGTACAAGGAGGTAGATAATTTTTCATAATTTTAGGGTATGTAAGCAAAAGAGGTTTGAAAAGCACTGAAATAAATAAGACATCCATAGAGTGGAATGATATGCGGCTATTAAAATGAATGAATTGGATGGAGCAATGGATGAGTGATACAAATAAGAACACCTGGGACAATTGCAGTCAGAAGGAAAACTGGGAGGGTTAGTACGACAAGTTTCTAGCTTGGCTGGCTAGCTGTGAGAGCTACAGACCCTGAGGAGATATCAGTGGTCTGGGGAAGAGAGCGAGTGCGATTTTATTTTTAACAGCTTTACTGAGATATAACTCACATACCATACAGTTCTCCCATTTAAAGTGTACAACTCAATGGTTTTTAGTGTATTCACAGAGTTGTGCAACCATCACAATAATCACTTCTTTTGTGCCCCAGCATCCTTCAGCTCGAGGGACACAGCAGCAGTACAACAGGTTCTTGCTGATTCATCTGATCTTGGTTTCTGTTCTATCTTTGTACCCCATGACTTTCATGGTTTTTTCCAACCCCAAAAGCCATGAATTCCGGTCTCTAACTTCCTTCTCACAGTGTCCTTCTGCTCTCTCCTTCCCCCCTTTCTATCCAGGGGCAGAGCTCTGGTAGGCACCGAGCTGACAGGTACCTGGGGACTACTGGAGAGTCTAGGATGCTGAGGAACTCCATGTTTTCCTGACCAAACACACAATTGCTAAAAGTCTTTCAGAGGCAATGTTCCCAGCAGGGGCTTCATGAATTCTGAATAGGTTCTCCATCCTAGTCTGGTCCATAGTCAGACCCTCAAGAGTTTCTGAAAACGTTCTATGATGAGCAGAGAATATTTCATGGGGGCGCTTGTGAATGACAGTGGATAAAAGACAAGCTTCTTTCCAGGGGGTAATAGACATTTCTCCCATCTCCTCATCTTCCACCCCAAGCACAGAATCCAAGAGAAAGGAAACATAAAAAAATGGAATTTGGGTGCCAGAATGGGGTTAATATGACAAGTGCATGATGAATGAGGAGGAAGCATTTTAGTTCTGTACTTTACTAATACTGCTTGGGAATCTTACTACCTTGTAGGCAGCTGGGGAGCTAATTCAGTTTTAGGGAGGCCACGATTATTCCGGTAAGTGGACAATAGGACATAACAGGAGCACATCTAGGATCTCCCCAACTCTTCCCGGAAGCTGTTTGGCACTGGACACAAGAAGCACATGTCTGATGGCACAGTAAACAGACTGTACTATAGATGAACATTATAAGAAATTCAAGCCATGACTGATCAGCCCAGACATTTCAATATGGTGGGGGAGTGAGGAATCCAGACAAGACCAGTCTAAACTTTCCTGGTGGACTTTGAGGCATGTGGAAATACATAGGTTCATATCTAATTTCAGGTTCAAGAAGTTCCAGGACACCTAGGTTAATTAATTAACCATGCATCCTTAATCTAGTTGGTGGTCTAATAATGAAAACAATGAACTCCTTAGTAGGACAAAAAGCCAAAGCAGGGTACAGATGCTGCCTGGACTAAGACTTCTCTCCAGGGCAGGACCTTCAAAGTCCCCCCCACCCCATGCTAAAGCTTGGGATGAAGCAACACTGGAAGAAACCAAAGATTCCAGGCCTTCACCTCTTTTCTTTAGGGCATGAAAGCCAAGGTAAAATGGAGTAATAGGTCTAAATAGTCAGTCTGTACATATGGAATGGGATTCCAGGGTAGCACAATACTACTAGGACAGCTCTAAGGCCAAGTAAGCCGTAAGTACCTTCGTTCACGATTTGCAGGGCAGAAATGGAGACACAGATGTAGAGAACAAACGTAGGGACACCAAGGGGGGAAAGTGCTGGTGGGGGGGTGGGGGGATGAATTGGGAGACTGGGGTTGACATGGATACACTAATATGTATAAAATAGATAACTAATAAGAAAAAAAAAGTACCTTAGTTCAGACCTTGGCAGAAACAGAGCAGATGTGATGCCTCATTCCTTTCCCTAAAGGTTAGGAGAGTGTGGAGCCCAACTGTTCAGAAGGGTGTTAACAGTAGGGTGCCTGATTTCATGCCATGCTCATAGAGGTGGGCCTAGTTCAAACGCAAATCTATACAAAGCCTGGCTATGCCTTGCTTGCAGGTACTGACAGTAGCCAGGGTGGAAAAGCTCATGTCAAAGTAGCTACAACACGAACATCTATGAGGCAGCATCCAGAATGGTAGGCCCAAGAAAGAGTAGTAGACACTGGTTCCTTAAAAATCTAGTGTGTGGCGACGACTTCTAAAGCTCTCAGTTGGCAGCAAAAGGCAAGAGCAAGGCGAGGCTGTGATCTGCCCAGGACCCTAACTGCAACTGCTACATTCTAGATGATACAAAAAGCTTAGACCCTAGGGGCTTCCCTGGTGGCCGCAGTGGTTGAGAGTCCACCTGCCGATGCAAGGGACACAGGTTCGTGCCCCGGTCCGGGAGGATCCCGCATGCCGCGGAGTGGCTGGGCCCGTGAGCCATGGCCACTGAGCCTGCGCGTCCAGAGCCTGCGCTCCACAAGGGGAGAGGCCACAGCAGGGAGAGGCCCATGTACCGCAAAAAAAAAAAAAAAAAAAAAAGAAGCCTAGGCCCTAAAGCCTGGAGACCCATAGCAGGTTGTGGCTCTTTCTAGGACACACTTGTTATGTCCTAAGATGAAGATTTGATGTCTGGTTTCTACTGGTTGTTAAGTGAGGCTGGTGGGCAATGTGGTCTGGAAGAACTGGGCAGCCAGCAGGAACGGGGCAAGTTGAGGAGAAGAAAAGAATGAGGAAATGGAGCAAGTTCAATGAGAATACAGAAACTGCAGGCTGAGGCAAGCACTCAGGAGCCCCCAATCATCTAAAAAACAGAGGTAGAAATGGAGCTAAATGAAGCTAACAATCAGAGTTCAGCACAGAGCTAACAGAAGAAAAACACACACAATATGTACCTGAAACCCAACCTTGCAATTGAGGAAAAGGCTTGCCTCACCCTTCCTCCTCGAGTGGGGGTCAATGACCAGCTTCCTTGAGAACAGCCAGGCTGCCACCTGTGACTGGGGATGAATGCCTAGAAGATCTGCTGCAAAGAAACTTGCCACATGAGACAGGCAGAGAAGCAGCACCTTGGTCCAACATAGGGAGGTGTATGAGAGGGGAAAATGACTCCAGTTACATTCATGTTTTTAAACAAGAGATAGCTTTCCTAACACCAAGAGTGATATACACAGTGAAATTAAAAACCTCTTTTAAGGCACTCAGTTAAAATTGAGGGGTGGGAGAAGTTACAGAAGATATTCTATTCAACGCTAAAACTTCAAAAAAACATCAGTTGTCAACTCCATTCTACTGGTCCATCTTTTGAAAAATAAGTTTTACTAAAATCACCAAGTAAGCTCAGTGTAAAGTCTTCACAAGCATGAATACTTATGGGAACACTGAAGGTTAGAAAATGTATAAAACCACAGTTAGATTATTTGAGAGCAACACTAGATATACATCATCTACTCAGAAGAAAATATTAGCCCCAAATTATTAACAAAAATGAGTCAAAAATTGACAAACATGCCTAAACAGATGTAACGCTATTGTTCTCATTTAAAATATAATTTGCAGACGTTACTTTTATATGATATTTATGCTGCATTTTCAAATACCAACATGGTGAATTTAAATAAAATCAATCCACAACTCAAAGAGTACGCAATCCAAATTATCAAGTAATGAAACTTTTTATTAATCGTTAGAGTTAGCATATAGTAGTGACGGTTGCACAGCACTATGAATGTAATTAATGCCACTGAATTGTACAGAGATGGTTAAAATGGCAAATTTTATGGTATATATATTTTATCACAATTAAAAAACATAAATGAATGGGAAAAAAAGAAAAGTTAGTGTATTTTGTAATTATGTACCCTTTTTATGTAGTCAGTTCAATATTTTTTGGTACCTAGAAAATTCACATTGTATCAGGCTAAAATATATCAGCTAAAAGACTTTACCTGATTTTCCATTTCAAAGATTAACCATACAACAGAAATTCTAAAGTAAAAAGTTCAAACAGCTAGCATATTCAAAGTATTTGAGGTATAATAGCTAAGGCATTCTTCAATTATCATGCAATAAGAACACTGATATCTAGGTTGTTTCTTAAGTCAAAAATTACATTACAAACTGAATCTATCTATTAAACATAGATACTTTAGGAGTTCAAAAGTCAGTCAACATTTTTAAATGATCATAATCCAACTAACCTTTTTTTTCCTCAGTAATCTTTCTCTGAATTTATTAGTGATAAATCCGCTTGGACCAGCAAACCGTAAACGCTGATATTTAGCCTGAATGCACAAGCTTTTCTGTAGTAGGCCTGATTTATACTGGGGCTGAAATGTGCCACCTCTAAAGTTGGTCTGTAAAGGAAAAAAAAATTAAATGTTAAAACTTTAGCTTCCAAGTCTATTTTATTAGTATAAGAAAGGGGAGGGCTTCCCTGGTGGTGCAGTGGTTGAGAGTCCGCCTGCCGATGCAGGGGACACGGG